GCCTCCCAGAGTACTAGGATTACCGCACCCGGCCGCCACCGGGTTTTCATAGGACATTCCATGTGGCTGACTTGGGTGCCCTTCCGCCACACTCCCCACCTCACCCAGCTGTGATTTCAGGGACCAGCAGAGACAGGAAGGGCCAATGGACTGGAAGGGCGGTGTCCTGGGCTGGTGCCCCCTGCTGTCCCTGGGCCCTCTGCTCTAGGACGTTCTGTGCCAGGGTGGGGGTGCCTGTCGGGTGTTCTGGGTGGCAGCCCCCCCATATTTATTCAATGACCCCTTCCTCTTGCAGCCCCCCTCTCCATCTCCTTCCTCCCCAACCCTCCTTGAGACCCACCATCAGGGCCTGACGGACGCCCCAGGTGTGGGGTCCTTGGGCGGAGTTTGTCAGGCTGCCCCCACAGGCCCCGACAACCAGGCCCTGCCCTCACGGGGCTCCGAGCCCACCCCAAAGAAAGCCTCGAGGACCCAAAACTGACCAGTGGGTGAGAGCGAGGGGTGTGTCAGGGGCCCTGGGCGTGCTCAGCTCCTGGACACTCGGGCAGCGTCCCCTCCTCCTTTCCCTCTTAGAGCAAAGTAATCATCTGGAACATTCCTCTGCTGTGGATGGGGAGACCAGGATGTGGGGTCTGGGGGGTGGGGGAGGGCTGGGACCCTCCAAGGGAAGGAGGCTTCCTGCCCAGGACTTCCTCTGGGGCAGGACAATGCCAGGAAGGGACTGATGCCCTGGGGAGGGGGTGCTGTAGGAAGCCGGGGCTCAGTTTCCCAAGAACAAAAGCGCTGTCGCCGGTGCTGGCAGAAGATGCAGCGCAGTCCCTGCCAGTGCTCAGCCTTGCTGTGTGCCCAGGACTCAGATGCCCTTCCGGGGTCCTCCCAGACCTCAGACTTCTGTCCCACCTCTGTCCCTCTCTCTATCTATATCTCTCTCTATCCCTCTGTCTCTCTGTCTCTGTCTCTCTCTGTTTCTCTCCATCTCTCTTTCTGTCTCTATCTTTCAGTATCTCTCTGTCCCTCTGTCCCTGTCTCTCTTTGTCTCTATCTCTGTGTCTGTATCTCTCTGTCCCTCTGTCTCTCTGTCTCTGTTTATCTGTCTCTGTCTCTGAATCTATCTCTCTGTCTCTGTCTCTCTCTCTCTGTCTCTCTATCTCTCTGTCTCTCTCTGTCTCTGTCCCTGCTTCCCCACCTCTGGCCCTTTGCACCAGAACCTCCTTCCTGTGTTGAGCCCACTTGTCCCTCCCTCGGGTAGCTGCCCTGACACCCCCCACTGCTGTGCACCCCCAGACCCCACATGTCTCTGAATGTGCAGGCTCTGGTCACCCAGGCAGAGTGTTCAGATGACACCATGAGTGACCAGAGGGTGGAGGCAGGGGCCCGGGAGAGCTGGGGACACAGCCCTGGCAAGGGCCCTCAGCCCGCCTGGCGCCCGGTGACCCCTCCCCAGCTGCCTGGGCAGGCTGTGGGGGTGGGAGGAAGCAGGGTCAGAGGCTGGGAAGTGGCCCATTCACCAGGCTCGCTGCCCCCCGCCCGGGTTAAGAGCCCAGCTTCCCGGGAAGGCCCAGCACCTCCGGCCTGGGGAGGGCCACACCTCTGAGTGTGCCTTCCTGAGAGGCCTTTCCGGGCACAGGCAGGAGGGACGCTAGGACCAAGGGAGACATGGCCGGAAGTTCACACACCTGTACCCTCACCTCACCAGGCCTCGGTTTCCCTCTTCTGCTCTGAGCCCCTCTGGGCCTCAGTTTCCCTCCTCTGGTCCCAACCCTTCCTCTGGATCTGTTTCTGCCTCTGGCAGAGAAGGGGCTGAGAAGACAAAGGCTGGCAACGCCTAGAAACCGTGTCTGCTGGCTGCGTGTCTTATTCCACAGCCAGGGAAACCGAGGCAAAAACAGGCACACCCTGAGGTGAGCAGAGGACAAACCAGAACCACTCCGTTCTTATCTTCCTAGGTGCCTGCTGTGTAGGTGGTCTGGGGTCAGGGTGGGGGCCACTGCAGATTAGGTTGCCCTCCCCAAGTGGAGGGACGACAGTGACCTCATTACCTGGAGAAACTACAATGGGATGGGGGAGGTGGCTGCAGAGGACCCTGAGTGGAGACTGGGCAGGGAGAGGGAACAGCCAGTGCAAAGGCCCTGGGGCCTGGGAAGGGGACTGATTGTGCAGAGCTCCCTGCTTCTGGGAGCTTGGACTTTTCTCTTTTGCCCCCCAGGCAGCCTTGGGGGTGTCGGGGTGCTCAGAGGGGTGTTCCCAAGGCCACTCTGGGTGCCTGGTGGTGAACAAGCCCTGAAGGGGCAAGTGGGGCCGGCGACAGGGACCAGTGTGAGGGGCCGTAAGAAAGTGTGGATGGATTCAGGAGTGTTTCAAAGGTGAGGCTCCCAGGACTCACTAGTGGCAGCTGTGAGTTGGGCCGGGTCAGGGTCCCCTCCAGACCCCTCCTGGGGTCCCCAGACCTGGGTCTCTGTGCGGAGCTGGAAACGAGGCTGCCCCACACTGGGGCTGCCCCTGCTGGTGTGATGGGGCCGGAAAGACGGGTGCAGAGATGGGAGTGACTTGTCCCAGGTCCTGGGGGGCCTCACAGCTCCAGGAGGGCGAGGAGACCCCACCCCACACGACACCACCCCGCAGCTACAGAGCAGGACGGGGCTGCCCGGGAAAGTGAAGGCCTCCATCTGGTCCGCTTCCAGTCCCCGACTCCGACCCTCACCCCTGCGTCCTCATCTTCCGATCTTTCCGTCGCTCCAAGCGGGGCCTGGAACAGGTCCAGACCCGCGCACCCGCCCGTCCTGACCTCGGCCCGGCCCACCCACCCCATTTTTGGCCCCCAGCCCCTGCCTCTCTGCCGCCTCCGGGGTCGGGGGTCAGGCCGGGAAAGCCCCCCCGGGAATCCCCCGGGGCGCCGCTATTTAAGCAGCGGCCCCGCGCGCAGGCCAGGGACAGCATGCGACGGGGCGGGGCGGTCCTGCTGGGCCTGTTCCTGGGCCTCCTGCGGCCGGGCTGCGGTGAGCGGGCCAGGGGCTGGGGCCAGGACACAGAGAGAGCTTGGCAAAGAGGAAGGGGCTCGGACAGGGGAGGGGGCTCGAAGGAGCCAGCGGTGAAAGAGCGGGGCGGGGACTCTGCGCCGCCCTCTGCCACGCAGGGAAACAGGTTCCAGGCGGCCGCGGGTGGGGAGCGCCGAGGCAGAGGCGGGGCCGGGGTGGAGGCCGGGGCCGGGGGTCTGCGGTGGGGGCGGGGCTCGGGGAAGATGGGGGCGGGGGTCCGCGAGTCGCGGCTGGGCAGTGCGGGCTCGAGGAGTGACAGCCGCTTCGGCCCCAGGCCAGCCCCTGCAGGTGGAGCCCCCGGAGCCGGTGGTGGCCGTGGCCATGGGCGCGTCGCTGCGGTTCGCCTGCCGCCTGGCCTGCGCGGGCCCCGGGGCGGCGGCGGTGCAGTGGCGGGGCCTGGACACCAGCCTGGGCGAGGTGCAGTCGGACGCGCGCGGCAGCGTGCTCACCGTGCGCAACGCCTCGCTATCGGCGGCGGGCCCCCGCGTGTGCGTGGGCTCCTGCGGGAACGTCACCTTCCAGAAGACTGTGCGGCTCGTGGTGTACGGTGAGGCGCGTTCCTCCCCGCCGCCTTACCTCTACTCAAGGCTCTTTCCTTAAGCCACCTCTTCCTGGGAGCCTTCCGGATTGCCCAACCTGTCCCTGCTCCAAGCTGGGGTCGCAGCTCAGTCCCCACCAGGCCCCTGGCCTTCACTGCCCTCCAGGCCCTGCCCAACCTTCCAAGGCTGGCCCTGGACCCCTCCCCTGCTCCTCACATTCTGGCGGAGGGGGTGTGGCTGCTGGGTCTGCACAAGCTGTTCCCTCTTCCTGTTCGGCAGCTCAGCCCCCACCTCCCACCCTCCATCCACAGCCTTCCCGGACCAGCTGAGCGTCTCCCCGGCGGCCCTGGTGCCTGGGGTGGACCGGGAGGTGGCCTGCACAGCTCACAAGGTCATGCCTGCGGGCCCTGACGCCCTCTCCTTCTCCCTGCTCCTGGGGGACCGGGAACTGGAGGGCGTACAGACTCTGGGCTCCCCTGAGGTGGAGGAGGAGGAGCCCCAGGAGGACGAGGACCCGCTGTTCCATGTGACAGAGCGCTGGCTGCTGCCCCCACTGGGGACCCCCATCCCGCCTGCCCTGCACTGCCAGGCCACCATGAGGCTGCCCGGCATGGAGCTCAGTCACCGACAGGCCATTCCAGGTGAGTCCCTGGGGGAGGTGGCCACAGGCCCTCCCACTCGGGAGCCTTGACAGGCACATCGGGACCTGAGCTGTGGGGCATGCGGGAGGCCGGATTCGACCTCTAGTCTGTTCCCCTGTGGCAGCCAGAGCCATGCTAATCCAACAGACATTTACTGAGCACCATCCTGTGCCAGCCCTCCTCTGTCCACAGCCCTCCACGGCTCCCACCTCCCTCGGGGCAACCCCAAGTCCTCCCAGAGGCCCCCCAGGCCCAGGCCCTGCACAACCTGCCCCATCACCTCCCTGTCCTCACCTCCTCCCTCTCTCCCTCCCTCACTCCAATCCAACCACACAGGCGTCCTAAGCATCATGCATGGTCCTGCCTCAGGGCCCTCGCTCGTGCTGTGCCCTCTGCCTGGAATGCTCTTCCCCCAGGTCTCTTCATGGCTTCCTCTTCCCCTCCCTCATCTCTCTACTTGACGGTCGCTCTCTCAGTGAAGCCCCCCTGACCTCCCTGTTTAAAGGAGGGAAGTGGGGGGCATTCTCACCCCTTTCACAATTGAGGAAACTGAGGCACACGGATATTAAGAAACCTGCTCAAGATGCTGCGGCAAGTAACTGGGAGTCCAGGCCTCCTACCCACCGTGATGCACTTTGATTCACCCAAGTAGTTCAGGAAAGGGGCTTGGAGAGGTTCTGGTCCAACCCCATTTTCCAGATGGGGAGACCGAGGCAGGAGGGGCAGGCCCAGGGCAGCAGGGAGAAAAAACAACTGCACTGTTTCCAGTCCTGCACAGCCTGACCTCCCCGGAGCCGCCCGACACGACCTCCCCAGAGCTCCCTTATGCGACCTCCCCGGAGCCCCCCGATGTGACCTCCCCGGAGGCACCCCACAAGCAGGGCTCCATGGGGACTTGCTGCTCTGAGATCCACCAGGCTGTGCCCACAGAGGGAGGAATGGCCCCCAAAAGCTGTGAGTTCTGCTGCCTGGGGAGGACTGGGAGGGACTCCTTGGATCAAAACTTTAGATGAGATATTGCCAGCCTCAGTTTTCCCATCTGTCCAGTGGGCTTCCCTGACTCTGGGTCCTCTGTAAATTTCAGGAACTGTGTAGATTTCAAAGCACTTTGTAAATTCTAAGCTTTATAGACCAGAACAGCATATGGGATAGAAACAGAAATAAAATGCAGCCACATCGGTCGTTTTGAATTTAAAAGTAAAAATAAGTGTGATAGTGTATTTTATTGAGCCCAATATATCCCAAGCATTATCATTTCAATATGCAATCGATATAGAAAAGTGTGAAGAGGTGGGGCGAGGTGGCTCACGCCCGTAATCCTAGCACTCTGGGAGGCCGAGGCAGGAGGATGACTTGAGGCCAGGAGTTTGAGACTAGCCTGAGCAAAAGTGACACCCCATCTTCACTAAGAAAAAAAAAAAAAAGAAAAAAAAAGTGTGAAAGAGATATTTTACATAAGTTTTCTTTCCAAACTAAGTCTTCAAAGTGCACTGTGATTTGCACGCTGACAGCACTTTCTGTTCAAAGGTTGGTGGTGGCAAGTGGTCACCTTGCTAGACCGCCCACTTCTAAACCATAATGTCCTGTGTGGCTTTCAGATGCTCTGCTGTAAAGTCCTTAGTGAAATTTTAGGGAACTCAGTAAATCCGGAAGCACTTTGTAGACTCTGCTGGGCTCTGACCGCTGCTCTCTCCTGCACCTCCCAGCGCCCACCCCGGGGCCTGCCCAGCTGCCCACAGACTTATGGACGGGCAGTGTGGTGCTGGCCCTGCTGCTCCTGTCATTCCTCGCCTACCGCCTGCGGAAACGCTGCTGCTGCCCGGACCCTGGCTGAGGACCACAGCCACCCGCCAGCTTCTCCCAGGCTCCCCCTCCCACAGTCAGCCTGGGCTGGATGAAGGGGGACCCACCAGACAGAGCAGCCCCTCCTGAGCAGCCGGCCTTTCCCTCCACCCAATTGAGACCAGAGGATGTTTGAGGGCTGACCATGGGTGGCCGGCACGCCCAGACGCTCCAGTTGGCTGTGTCCCCCCGTGGGGCCCCTGGGGAGCCCACTCTTTCAACTGTCCAGGGATGGAAAATAAAGGGTGTTTGATCTGACCTTTGGTGACTCCTGTGGTGCTCCAGAGATGCAGGAACCCTCTGCACAGCTCTCACCTGCACAAGGTGACTTCCTGGAGGGACAGGGACGTACATGCCCAGCCCCAGCCCCAGCCCCACCTGGCCGGCGGAGCGAGCTCTGCCTGGGGTGGGAAGGCGCCACGGCCTTCTGCATTTCCCTGGGTCAGGAGCTTAACGGATAACCAGGAGTCCAGCAACGAAGTGGGAGGAGTATTTGGCGGGGGTAGCCTGGGCAAAGCGGCAGAGGCGGCTCATCGAGGGACTGCAGGTCTTCCAGGGTGGCCGGGGCTAGAGGGCGGCTGGCATGGTCAGCGACGAAGAGCTGTAGATGTCAGCCCGGACAGGAGGGACGGAGGCCAGAGGTACTGGGCAGCTACGGGAGACTTTAGAGCTGCAGAGAACGCGGCGTTAGAAAGAGCCCCTTGGCGGTCGGGACGGGTAACAGCCCGGGACGGCGCCCCGCAAGCACGTACCGGCTGCCGAGCTGGGTGGAGTCGGCGGGGGCTCAGCTCCACACCCAGCGCAGCTGGAGCGCAGATGAACACCTGGGGGCGTAGGCCGTGCTCCGTCCATGCTCGCGCACGCTCAGTCGGCCTTCTCCGGTAACCAGGGAGAGTGGTTGCTAGGAGACCATGAGAACGAAGGCATCGCCCACTACCAATATGGCAAGTAACCCGGCTTCAGGCCAGAAACCGAGGCCTTTCTAGGTAGCCATTTTAAAGTCTGGCAAAATTCACATTCCGGGCCGAAGCCAGGAGGACCAACCAGTAAATATAAAGAAGGAAGAGAAGGCAGAAAGCCACTAGGGGGCTAGGCGAAAAGGGTAACGTGCGCCTGTCATTTCCTAGAATCTCCCAGAGGGAATCAGGGCTGCCCATGCCCTTAACAAAAAGGACCGCCCCAGGGCGCCAGCGTTCGGTGGGATATGGCGGTACTTCCGGTCCCGCTGCCCTCAGCGAAGATGGCGGCAGTGGAGAAGCGGCGGCCCGCGGTGGCCCCGGCGGCCAATTTCGCCGACAGCGGCCGGCCGTCGGTGTCCCGGGCGGCGGCGGTGTCCGAGAGCGAGGAGGACTTCTTGCGGCAGGTTGGCGTGACGGAGATGCTGCGCGCAGCCCTGCTGAAGGTGCTGGAGGCGCGGCCCGAGGAACCGATCGCCTTCCTGGCGCACTACTTCGAGAACATTGGCCTGCGTTCGCCCGCGAACGGCGGTGCTGGGGAGCCCCCGGGCCAGCTCCTGCTGCAGCAGCAGCGCCTGGGCCGCGCGCTCTGGCACCTGCGTCTGGCCCACCACTCCCAGAGGTGCGCGTCGGGCCGCCGGTTGCGGGGGGTGGGGGCGGACTTCAACTCCCAGCGTGCCCCGCGCGGCTGCCCACCAACAGCGCCGGCGCGGGGCCTGTTGGGAGTTGTAGTCCGCGGCGACCTGGTGGGGCTGCGTGGGCTCCAGGTCCCCGCTGCGTCGAGCGGAGACCGTTCCCGCCGGCTCGGCCTTTTGTGATGCCTTTGGCCGGTGCTGGGTTCCCCCCGGCAGCCCGTGATTTTGAAAATCATGGAGTGCGGGAGGAGCGAGCCCTGCGAGCCGGGGCGCGCGGTGGGCCGGGACGAGGATGTCCACGGGGCCGTGGGCGGGGACGGGTGGGGACGGTGCCAGCTGCCTGTGTCCCCGGCGGGGACAGCTTTGAGCGCGGAAGGTGGCCGAGGAGCAGGTGGGGATGACCGTCGGCCGCAAGGTGGGTTGGGCAGAAGCTGTCTGGCCTGCAGCCCAACCCGAGGTGGTGCCTGGGTGTGGGCTGGTGGTGTCGGCGGGGGCGCTCCCCAGAAACAGAACCTGAGGCAGGCATTTGTGTGGAGGTGATTTTTACAAGGGGGTGCACCCAGGAGAACCCGCAAGGGTGTGGGAAGAGCAGAACAGGGAAGGACGCCAAGCAAAGGTGGGGAGCTGAGGCCATCCAGGAGCTGTAAACACCAGGGCAGCCCTCCCCAGAGAGTCCCAGAGAAGCTGGGGTACAGAGGTGGACAGAGGGAGAAAGGGCAGGAGGGCAGGACATCAGAGCAGAACACCAGCATCTCCACGGCAGGGGGCGGCCGGATGAGGGTCCACTCCGAGATGGGGACCTGGGCAAGGAGCAGGCTGGCTGGCAGGAGGTGGAGGCCTGGTGGCTCTGAAGGCCCTGGATGAGCTGGGCCTGGGCTGGGAGGGGAGTGTGCAAGGACAGGCCCAGAGGGTCAGTGCAGCCTATTGCGGAGATGGGAGGCCACTGGTTTGGGGAAGTCACCAGAGTGGCTTGGGGATAGATGGAAGGGTCAGCAACTGAGACAGGGGACTGGGACAGGAGATTGTAAACTGGGAGGCATCACGAAGGCTTTAGGAGGGAAGAGACAGGCTCAGGACCACACTCTGAGGGGCCTCAGCCTTGGAGGGCCACAAAAAAGGACGGGAAGGCAAGACCAGAGATGAAGGGAGGAACCGGGAGAAAGCAGCGTCCTGGGACAGCCAGAAGAGACTCTCCCAAAGACAAAAAGGGGTCAGTGGCAGGGCCACCATGTATGGTTGTTCAGGTCAAGCACTGCACAAGCCACTCACCCCATAGACATGGCAGATGAGGATGTTTCTATTAATTTCCCAGGGCTACTGTAACAAATTATGACAAACTGAGTGGCTTAAAACGACAGAAACTTATTCTCACAGTTCTGGAGGCTAGAAGTCAGGAGGGCCATGTTCCCTCTGGAGGCTCCAGGGGAGGATCCTTCCTACCTCTTCCAGCTTCAGGGGCTGCTGGCCATCTGGCTTGTGGCTGCATTGCTCCGATGTGCCTCCGTCATCACATGTCCTGCTCTGTGTCCCTCTGTCCTCTCTTACAAGGACACCAGCCACTGGATCAGGGCTCGCCCCACTCCAATGTGACTTTGTCTTAACTAATGACATCTGCAAAGACCCTATTTCCAAATAAAGTCCCACTCTGAGGTTCTGGGCGGACATGAATTTGGGAGAACTCGTCACACCAGGACAGGGCATTGGGGCTGTTGGCTGGAGGCAGTTGACGACAGCCAGGGACATCAGAGGAGTAGCAGGGTTAGTGGCGGTGCTGGGGCAGACACCTCTGGGCCCCTGGGCTCACGGGTCTCCCCAGAGACACAGCCAGGGGTGAACTCAGAAGACAGGCGCGCCCTGCCTCAGTGGCATCTGGTTTTGTGCTCACGGGAGCCAGGCCAGCTCCTTTTCTCCCAGCGGGCAATCAGGAGCCCCTCACCGTCACCCGGAGAGCCAGGAGCGGAAGCCGAGAGCCGGGCAGCTTCACCCCCACTCTGCTGGGCGTGTGCCACCCGGTGCTGAGGGGTTGACCGGGGCTGCTCCCGGTCATCAGATTTGGGGAAAAGTTGCCCCAGATCCTCTCTGCCCGTATCTCTGAGAAATGGAAAGTAATGGCCACGTCCCCGTCAGCCTCTGAGGCCCCCCGGAGCACAAACACAGACCTAAAGTGACATGCTGAAGGCCACACAGCACCAAGGGCACAGCCAGAGTCAGGCCCAGGGAGTGCAGTCCCCGAGGCCTCCTCCTGAGCCACCGAGTCGCTCGTGTGGCAGCGAGAGCTGCACCGTCCCCGTGCACAGAGCACCAGCAGGCCTAGGCCAGGGTCCTCAGCCTCAGTCGCTCTCAGGGGTGGCATCCTGGGCACTGCAGGGGCACTGAGTGTACTTGCCCCCATTCCGTGCCAGGGGCACCCCCCAGCCCAGCGGTGACAACCACAGGTGTCCCAAGACATTGCCCAGGGTGCCCTGGGGGCAATATCGTCCCCCCTTGAGAACTACTAGTCAGGGTAAAGGTTAAAAGCACATCTCCCATGTCCCTTTCTGGAGACTTTCCATAAACATAATTTTTCTTTCCTTAACGAATGCTCACATGCTTCACAGACTGCTCTGTGTAGGAGCTGACCCAGGCGGAGCCTTCCCGAGTGCAGACGGGACCCAGGGCCCAGAGCCCAGGGTCATAGGCCCAGGGTTGCCTGAGCCCAGAGCTCGCTGCCTTCACTTGAGCACTTGACAGGGAGCCCCCAGGCGCAGAGATGAGCAGCTTAGAAGTCGCCTCTCCCACATTCTCTCCTCACGGGTGTGACCTCACAGGCTGTGATCAGCCCACAAGGCCAGGAGCAAATGACAGACAGCGCTTGGACAGCCAGCCGGCTGACCACAGCCCCGGTTACGGCGTGCGGTGCGCGCAGGCGCCGTCGGGAACACCTGGCACGAACTCCGATCTTCTGTCCTCACGAGAATCCCAAGGTACAGGGATCAGGACCCTCACCCCTGGGTGCGAAAGCCGGGCTCGGAGAGGCAGCAACTTGCCTGGAGCCCAACCAGGAGGCAGGAGAGGAACAGAGGGACGCTCGGAGGCAGCTCTGGGCCGGGCGCGGAGTGAGTGAGTCAGTGTTGGGTCCTGGCAGGGGGGCCCAGGGCGCAGAGTTGGGCGAATCTTGGCCACACATGAATCAGTGAGGAGGGGCCACGTCACACCGCAGTGACAGCCCCAAAGCCCCGGCGGCTGTATCACAGCCGAGGTTCGCTTCTTGCTCACACCGCAGGGTCGGTGGGGGGCTCTGCTCCTGCAGTCCTGACTTGGGCTTACACAGCGTGGCAACGAGGAATAACTCGACAGCTCTAGAAACTCCCACTGGATGTGGACCACACCTCGCTTCACTCATTTCTGTGGCCAAAGCAAGTCCCGTGGCTCAGCCCAACTTCTAAGGGGTAGAGAAGTTTGTGGGAAGACTAACCGGGCAGAGCCATCGGTACCAGCCTTCAGGATACCCCCGGGAGCCTTGCCTCCTGGGGTTCAGTCCCTGCCACGTTGAACAGAGCCACCTGCCACAGCAGGACATCGCGGGCCTTGCTCAGGGCAGCCAGCCACGTGTCCTAAGGAAGCTCACGCGGCCCAAGGGGACGGCCACGAGTGTGGGACTAAAGCTCCTGCCAAGAGCAGCCGCAGCTCAGCCTGCGTCTGAGTGAGCCACCCCAGAGGTCAGACTTCGGGGGACAGTAGCCACAGCTGACATCCTGACTGCAGCCATATGAGAGGGACCCAGAAGCCGTGTGACGGTACACGTCTGTCGTGGTTTTCAGGGCGCTAGGTTTGGGGATGCGATCGCAGCGATAAATCAGTGACTCAAGGCAGACATCCGGAAACATCCTTTTCCTGGCGGGATGGGTTAACAGTCCCAGCTCCCGTGAGAGTTGTGGAGAGGCGTCAGTGGGCCGCCACGGGCAGCGGCACAGTGGGAGCGAGCGCCAGCGTCCTCGAGCGCGCAGCGCAGCATGAGGGTCATGCCTGGCGCCTGTAGCCAGCGGTCCTGGAACCGAGTCCTGGCTGGGAGGGAGACATCCAGGCCCCTGCCCTGGGCTGCAGCAGTGGTGACCCGAGTGGCAGTGTCCACCCAGCACACACCTGGGCGGCCCGTGGAAGGTGGCACCTCAGTGTGAACCTACCCTCCTCGCTGTGGAGCCAGGCGCCTAGAAAGGACGAGTTCCTGCCCCGGGGTCGGCCACTTCCTCTCTGAGACCCGTGGCCAGACCACAGCCTGCCCTGAACCTCAGTTTCCCTGTATGTCATAGCGGAAATGACAGCAGGGCACTGTGCAGTTAATGCGGCGAGGGGAATGAAGTAGTCCACGCTAACCGCTGTGCTCCCTGCCACCTCGTGCCCTCCACGGATGCCCAGGGCACAGGCCTTGCACGCAGCAGCGCCTCAGGGAGGCTCAGGTGGCAGCGGGGCTGACTGGCTTTTCAGCGAAGGGCAGAGAGCAAACATTTTCAGCTCGGCGGGCAATCTCCTCATGACGTCATAGCGTGAAGCAGCCACAGGACACGTCAGTGGGCTGGTGTGGCTGTTCCAATAAAACTTTATTTACAAAAGCAGGCAGCAGCCGGGTCTGATCCCCAGACTCCTCCTGCCTGTGGGATGTGGGGAGAGAGAAACTGACCTGCGATAAATGCTGAGCAGCCACTCCGCAGGCGCAGCAGACGTTGATTGGGCACCCGCTGTGTGCCGGGCAGGGTTCTAGGCAGGAGGTCTGTGACAGTGACTGACAGATTAGTGCCCTGCCCTTGTGGGGCTGACGACACTATGGTTTAGTAAGTCAGGTGGTGAGAACTGCTAGGAAGAAAAAGGCAGAAGGCCGGGCGTGGTGGCTCACACCTGTGATCCCAGCACTTTAGGAGGCCGAGGCAGGAGGATCACTTGAGGCCAGGAGTTGGAGGCTGCAGTGAGCTATGTTACCACTGCCCTCCAGCCTGGGCGACAGAGCGAGACCCTGTTTTAAGAAAAAAGAAAAGGAGGGAAGGGGTCTGGGGAAGGCCGTGCGCAGGGCAAGGGCCGGCAGGCTGGAGGAGAGGGGCGGGCAGGGGAGGGGGAGGGGTGCTGGCCCCGCAGCTGCCCAACACCCCCTCCCCCACAGGACGGCCTTCAACAACAACGTCGGCGTGGCCTATGAGTGCCTGAGTGCCAGCGGGCGCAAGAAGAAGCCTGGGCTGGACGGGCGCACCTACGGCGAGCTGCTCAAGCGCATCTGCAGGGACGGCGAGGCCCCCGAGGAGGTCGTGGCGCCCCTGCTGCGCAAGATCCAGTGCCGCGACCACGAGGCTGTGCCGCTGGACGTGTTCCGCGCCGGCATGCTCACCTGCTTCGTGCTGCTGGAGTTCGTGGCTCGTGCCGGCGCCCTCTTCCAGCTGCTGGAGGGCCCGGCTGTGGCCGTGGCCGACCGCCGCGTGGGCCAGGCTGTGCTGGACACCCTGGAGGGCGCCCTGCAGGCCAGCGACAACACTGCAGCACCCGTCTGCTACCTGGAGGCCGGCTCACGCCTGGGGCCGGACAGCCTGGCACTGGCCATGGACCGTGCCATGTCGGGGCGGAGGCCCAGCTCCCCCATGACCCGAGAGGAGTTCCTGGAGAAGGCGGCTGCCCTCTTCATTGCCAAGGTCAAGCCGGTGGGCTGAGCCCTGCCTGGACAGAACATGGATTTGGGACCAGGGCTGGGGTGTCCCTGCGGGCAGTGGGTGCAGCGCCTCCCCTTCACCCGGATCAGGACATGGGCCAATGCCCCGGCCTAGGGGAGGAGGCCGGGCTCCCAGGAAGTAGATGCTCCCTCCCCACACCCACATGACTGCCTGCCTCCCCGGCCCCTCCACGCACGCAGGCAGGACCCCTGCCCAGCAGTAATAAAATCCGTTGCAAGGCCAACCCCAGCCTGTGTGCATGCCCTGCCACCTCCCAGCCCCTCCACGGCAGCTGGAGGAGGCGCGGGGGGCCCAGCGAGGCCCTGCTGGGGGGCGAGGGCTGAGCGGCACCACCCCACCGGCTCCTCTGCAATACAGGACCCCGTCCCTCCAGCCCTGCCCTTCCCAAGGGTCCTTCCTGGGCCTCAGTTCCCCCAGCTGTCAAACAAAGAGGTCAGCTTGGCAGATGACAGCAACATTGGTGACAGTAACAGCTCAGACGCCTTCGGGCAACCGCAGCATCTTGCACGACTCTCACCACTGTCCTGTGGGGAAGGTAAACTGCTGCCCGCACTTGGCAGAAGGTGGAGGGTCACACCCAGCAGTGGCCGGGCAGGGATTTGAGCCTGGGCTCCAGAATGCACACTCACGCTGCCCACCCATGGGCCCATTGGGAACCCTGTGACCCGCGGGAGCCCCCTGAGCCTCCGCCAGGCATCCCAGGCGCACCCCCACCCAGAGGGACCACTTGGACAGAAAATTCTGTAGGGAGCAGAAGGGCCAGTCCGGAATCGGATTCCCAGCTCGGAATGGTTCCTGGCAGATGACATCACACTCTCGGCCTCAGTCTACCCCTCTGTTACATGGGCTTGTGACGGCCCCTATTCTGACTGAGGGAGACCCCAGGGAACACAACCTTTACAGTCTCCACAGGCTGCACAACGGCAGGGACCCCCCCTACATCCCTGTTCCCGGCACCAAGAAAAAGGGAGGCAAAGGGTAGGCAGTCAATGAACCAACGCACGACTGGATCCTGGCGGATCCCGTTTCCCAAAAATAGCCACAATGATATTTCCATTCCTGCTCTTCCACGGTCCAAAGGTAGAACCCGCGTCCCATCCTCTAGGCCGCCAGCGGCTTCTCCTGGCTTTGCCTGGGGACACGTGTGCCAAGAAAGCCCCTGAATGGGCACGTGTGCCAACCGGCAGCTCCCGCTTTGCAGATTAGTGAGCTAAATAAATGTTGTTGTAACCTACTGAGGTTCGGAGTGCTTTGTCATGCAGCGCTAGGTGAGTATGAGCAAAGAGCGCCCACCCCCTAACTGTCACCTGTTAGTACTGCGAAACGCGGAGGGCCTGCACACAGGGCAGAGCTGCCAACAACGTGGCCGAGGTCCCTGCCCTCCTGGAGCCACAGCCAGGCCGACTGCAGTCAGCTCTCAGTGTGAACTGTCCTAGACACCAGGACGGGGACGCAGGGCCCAGGAGGTTCCATCCACTTCCTGAGGCAGACAGCAGCCAAGAGTGGCTGGCGAGGGGATGCACAAGCTGGCCACGCCCTGCGCAGCTTCCCTGCACCTCCTGTGGCACCTGGCCTCGGGCTGGAAGTCCCCATTTATGGTGATCCTGGCTTGGCCCTTGCCAGCACAGCTGCAGGAAGCTGACCTGACCTCGCTGGCCTGGCCCGGCCTGCCCGCAGCGTCAAGCCCTGCAACCCGCTCTGGCAACACCACGTTCCCAGGCACCCTAGGAAGGTTCCTCTCTCTTCCCAGCTTCTCTGGTAGAAGGTCTCTCTCCAGGGGGCCCCTCCTCTCCTCACTCCTCCCCTCACTCAGCACTCACCAGCCTGTGGCCAAGGACTCTCAGATTCAGTCTCTGGCACTGAGCACTGATCTGCAGAGCCCCTCACCTCCTGGCTGTCTCCATGGGGGATCCCAGGCCCTCCCCACCCCTGGGGCTCCTCTGGAGTTTCCGGTCTCCGTGGAAACCCCTGCCCGAGTCCACCACACACATAGCGCATTGTAACTTCCTCCCACCCGCCCCTGCCCTGCCCAGGCCCTGGATGGTCCAGCCGGCACCCTAGCCCTCCTGGACCACCACCAACCCCCGGCCAGTTGGACATTCCGGGCCCCCAGCCTCAGTGGTGGGGACCCCAGCCGCCCTGGGGTTCTTTCTGGGAACACAGTGCTGGGGCTGAGCTGGGAAGACCTGGGCCCTCTTGTCCCCACAATGCCTGGGAGCCAGTTGGCACCCAGGCAAATGAAGCTGAGAGACCCCCCAGCCTGTTTGTGCCTCTGTCCTCGTGGCGCCCAGCTATGCCAGCCTCTAGCCAGTCCAGCTCATCCCCAGCCCGTGGCCTTTGCACGTGCTGTTCCCTCTCCCCGTGACACTTCCCGCAGACCCACATGGACCACTTCTGCACGCCATTAGGTCTCTGCTCAGATGTCACCTCCTGAGAGATGCCTTCCTGACCCCTACCCAAAATACGCTCCTGCACCCTCCCTACTGCTAACCCCTGGAATACTTCATTTTCCTTCACAGAAATTACTTGTTTCTGGCCTGTGTTCGGAGGGCAGGGACTTGCTTGTTTATTCACTGCTGCACGCCCAGACCTAGATTTCCACGTGGAAGGCCAGGAAGGGAGGGAGGGAGGGAGGAATTTTCCAGAGGTATCCGAAACTCATCGAGGTAAGTGCGTTCAATCCCTATCGCTGCTGTAACTAATGACTTCAAACAACACAAACTTATTATCTCACAGTCTGGAGGGCAGAAGTCCTGAAATCAGGGCGTGGCGGGGCCCGTCCTGCCTGGGGACTCCAGGGGAGAACCCGTCTCCCGCCTTTCCCAGCGTCTAGCGGCCGCGCGGTCAGCTCGGGGCCCTTCCTCCCCCTTCAGAGCCAGCAGCGCAGCATCTTCCAGTCTCTCTGCCTCCGACCCTCCTGCCTCCTGGTGCAAGGACGCTGTGGGGACACTGGGCCCCGCCCCCCCATCATCCAGGATGATCTCCTATCTCGAGGTCCTTAATCCCATCGGCAAAGCCCTTTTTGCCACTCAGTAACAATCACAGCTTCTGGGGATTGGGGTGTAGTCATCCTTGGGGCGTTATTTTCTCTCCCATGGCAAGTAACGGCTCCAGATTGCACAGCAAAAAGGGGCAGAGCTGGCCTTGAAGCCAATTCTGTGCATTCAGAGTACATGGGCCCCACGGCCTTTGTCTTTTTTTTTTTTTTTTTTTGAGACAGAGTCTCACTGTCACCAGGCTGGAATGCAGTGGTGTCATCATAGCTCACTGCAGCCTCCAACTCCTGACATCAAGCGATCCTCCCGCCTCGGCCTCCCAGAGCGCTGGGATTACAGACGTGAGCTGCCGCACTTTGCCACAGCCTTTGTCTTCTGACTCTGTCACAGGCATCCCCTCTGCCTCCTGAGGCCGTATCTTTCTTCCCAACAGGGCACAATAGCAGTAAGATGCTGTCCTGTAAGTCTTTATGACCACTTGGGCTTCACACTATGCTTTTCACACACTATCTCATCTAATCCATTTTGTAGAGACAGAAAATGAAATTTGGTTTAGCATTTGAGGAATATTTCCATGGTCATAGTGGAAACTAGATTTGAGTTTAGCGCTCTTCTGTGGCATGTGATGGCAGGCCCAGCTCAAACTGGCTTAATAAAAAAAATAAGGAATTTATAGACTTGCATCATTGGAACCTGCAGTGGAGCTCAGGTGTGGCTGGATCCAGGAGCACAAACTGAATTATCAACATTTTCTCTCTCCTCAGATGGCTCAGCTCTCCTGAGTGCTGACTTTGTTTAAGGCCTTGTGGTGAAAAGATGGTGCCGTAACTCCAGTCCCAGGTCCTCCCCGCTCAGCTGCCCCAGCACTGCGATCCCAGAAAATGTCTCAGGGCTGTATCTCCTCGGATGGTCAGGAGTTTCCCGCGTGTTCCTAATCAACCACTGCAGCCCAGGGTAAGCAGGGCCAGGAATGCTCCAATTAGATGACCCATCTGTGCGGCCAGGACTTGGGGTCAGTCCAGTTCAAACCTCTCAGACTGAGTAGGGAGCCCCCAAAAGAAAATTGAGTGCTATGGCCAGAAAACAGGCAAGCAAAAGCCCAGCTGTCCACCACTCCAGGGTGACCTAAAGCCAGAGAAGCAGGCTTTCCTAGAGGCTGGGGCCCAAGCAGGACCACTTGGAGGGGCTAGTAAAACCAGTACTTCCCTTTTCCCACCCAGTACCTCCTGGGATGTGGGGCGTACATAGGAAAGGAGATCTTGGGAAACCTCAGAGGAAGAATCATGATTAATTCTAATTACTATTTGTTAACAGCTGCTGCATGCCAGCTCTATGACATTGGCACTACTGACGGCCACGTGGCACAGAAGACAATGAAGGTCAGAGGGCACCCAGAATACCTGGTGAAGGGTGCCAGAGGGCCCCACAGATCTAGGCACCCTCGTTTCACTCTGGGCCTGAGAGAGGAAGCCCAGAGCCCCCTTACGAATGCAAAAGCCAAGGACCTGGAAGTCACAGGAAGTGGCGGCTCTTTCTCGGACCCCCTCAGTCCCTCCCCACCCTAGATGTTCTGTTTTCCTTTTCCTAGACAGGTCAACTTGCCTGTCCTCAGTTGGGACACCAGACTCCAGAGGCCAGGGGCCAAGTGTTGGGCATCTGTGGGAAGCAGTCGCCCTGGGCCAAGCACAAGGGGTTGGTGCAGCTGTGGGCAGCCCAGGACAGGAGCCAGCAAGGCCACAGGCACGGGGGCCACGCCTGCCCCCGCTTGGGACACTCTGCGGATCTGCCCTCACCACATCCTGCTCTCCTCACCCAATGTCCAGGTGAGGGCCATGTGGGTGTCTGGGCCAGGACTCAGCTGGGTCAGAGCCCAGGTGGGGTCATGGCAGAGCCTAGATTCAGGGCTCAGCTGGGGTCAAGACTCAGGTGGGGGCCAGTGGTGGTGGGTCATGCCTGTAATCCTAACACTCTGGGAGGCCAAGGTGGGTGGATCGTTTGAGCTCAGGAGTTTGAGACCAGCCTGAGCAAGAGCAAGACCCCAACTCTACTAAAAATAGAAATAAATCAGCTGGACAACTAAAATATATATACATATATAGAGAGAGAAAGGGAGAGAGAGAGAGAGTAAATTAGCCAGGCGTGGTGGTGCATGCCTGTAGTGACAGCTACTCGGGAGGCTGAGGCAGGGGGATCGCTTGAACCCAGGAGTTTGAGGTTGCTGCGAGCTAGGCTGAC